AACCCCCCCCCCCCCCCCCCCCCCTCCTGCTCCTGCTCTTCTATCCTCTCCATCACCGCCACCGCGGCTCTAGCCGCAGCCATCGACTTCGTCCCCGCCCTTCGGGTCTTGGTCGTCGTAACCGCTACTCCCGCCTCCTCTCTGCCGCCACCGCCACCTCTAGCGTTACTTGTGACGGACTCCTCCGCCCTAGGTGCTACCTCGACAGGGTTAGGTGCGGCGGCGACCGGCGGTGGCAACGAGGTTTCCTGCTATGTTGTCGGAGGCGGTGGAAGGGGGGGGGAGCATGGAGAGGGGGAGGAGGAAGGTGTGCGGGTCAAGAGCATTTGTTCGATTGTTACGTGTTAATGGAGGCGGGAGATAGGAGGGGGGCGGGCGTCAAGAACTTTGTTCGACGTCCGCTGAGTGCTCAGAACGCGTTTTGAGCTGTGTTGTGCGCCATGTACCGAGTCGTCCGCACAGGACTTGCGTGTGTTTTCGTCTTGGAGAGGAAAACGAATCACAGTACACAGAGATATGTCTTGTTTTCCAGAACAACATGAAAAACAACGACAACAACAATTGACCTTTGTTGCATGCACGTCTGTGCATGCTGCACCTCTCTAAATCGCCTGCTACGATAAATGCTCCCATTCTAGCGACGCAGATCATGGCCTCCACAGGCGAGACATTTGCACAGCTTCCCATATACCGAACGAGGCGAAGAGATGGCACCCCCCCTAGACCGAATGTCAAAGCTCGGTTGCGCCACAACAAGAGTATACCAATATGGCGCCTTTTGAAACGTACCGTCGAGGGCCTTCTCTTGAAGCAGCGAGTCTTTTCTCGTGCTTCCTTCTCGGGGGCACGCAGGAGGCTCGTCGGTACAAAAACGCTCGTGCCCAGAGCTCGGTAGGCTTCCGTGGCGCGTGTGGTTGACCGTCAAAGTTGCGAAAACTGGCTCTGTATCGCTGGGGGGGCAATGCGATAGGCGAACCAGTTCTGAACCAACAGAGCCTGGCGAACCACTTGTGAAACCCATCAACAACGACAGTTCGAAATACTTGCCTCTTGGCTCGTTGTCATCTCCATCTTCTTCCCTTCTTCGCTGTGACTCTCGTGTCACCGCAATGTCCAACAGCTGTACAGTGGGGGGCCCTCTATGCTACCGGTGCCCGGTATAGTCGGCTCGCAAACTCTGAAATACCAAGTCGCTCTGTGCTCTGAGTTGTGCCGGTGCTCGGTATAGTGCCATAAAATCTCGGGACACACCGCGGCACTGTAGAGGGCCCCCAAATGCTGCACGACCTACATTACATACGGTTCACTTCGCAGCGGGCCGAGTTAAACGCTGCTGCCGTGGGCAAGCTTAGCGCATGCACCCGCAGCGTTGAACATGTTTTGTTTGTCACGTTGTTTCGGATTCAAATTCTCATCGGAATACCTGCCATCATCGCAAGCCATCATACAAAGTAGAATTTAAGAAATCTATGAATACGAGCAGTCGAAAGACAACTTGTTGTCCGCCTCGAAGCTGCCTCCAATCAAAGTACTCTTCTATTGAAACCAACGAATGTAGCGAATGTCCGTAGGGCTGTGTGTGTAGTCTATTATAATAATAAATACCATAAAACTATTACAATGCACACGTGCGCGATGTATTGTACGGAATACTGATACTGCTATGCGCGTTGTAAAACCATCAAATATACGACACACACAGCCCCTAAACTTCGGGCAATGCGCATGTGGTCTTGCGTCACCCGCGGGGGTTTGACACCGACGTCCCGAAGGGAGACCTTTTACATGACAAATGTCTGCATATATATCTTCCTGTTATCTATCTTGTCTCGCTCACTCTGACGGCTGTGCTGTCCTCTGCTGCTGCACTCCCATCATCACTCCCACCGCTGCTGCCTCCAACCACACCGGCGTCCTCCTCCTCCTTCTTCTTGTCACCGCCGCCCCCGAACGGCCAGCGCGCGCGCAGCGAACCCCTCCCCCCCCCCCGAGCC